CGGCTGCCTCCAGGCTCTTCGAGCCTTGCCCCGATTCCGGAGGCTTCTGCCCCTGTAACTACGTACCTATGAGACTGTCTAGCCCCTTTGGGAATCTCCGTAGCTCATTCTTTCAAGTCATCCCGGGCCCCTATTGGAACTTACCACTTATCAACTAATCTCTAAGTTCCTACTCGATCTTCATTTACAGATTGAACATACCATTCAGATCCTTTTCACAACTTTTTCTCTGCTGTAATCAAGGAGCGCCTATGTAGCTATTATTTCTATTCTTGTCTATTTTCCGGGGAATATCCACCCTGACAGCTCCCCTCCCCTCTGTTTCGCTGCCGAGGGGCCGAGTCAACGCTTTCCCCGTGGCATCGAAGCATTCCATGCCCGGGATTGGTGTGCGCACTGTATAGTAACGTAGTAGGGTGCACAAGTAGGTACTAGGTAGGTCCGGGGACAACTCAATTAGCCGTTGAATGGCCCCCGACCAATAAACGCCGCCTCATCTTGCATACACCATCCCCGGAAATACGAGCGGTTCACATGGCCGGACATCTACAGTAGCAGCTATCTGCCCACTGCCCACGGATGATTTGCAGAAGTACAGTGCTGTACTCCGTACTTTAGCAGACTACCTATTATTACCTTCGCCTGCAACCTATCAATTGCCCACTCACGACTTCGGAATTTCACAACGCAGAGATAGGATGTTTAGTTCCGAATCCCAAGACCGATAAGCATAGCCGACATCAATAAATGTAATGCAAATTGTCATACACAGATCTATCAATCTAGCCTTCTCGATATCGCTTCATGCTGTATGGAGCATAAATCCTGAGAGGGCATGTGCATGCGAGTTAGCGATCCCCAGATCATACCTACTGCGTGACAACTGCCAAAATTTGTGGCCTGTGGCTACGACTCAATCCCCCAACCCCGAGACCTCTCTCTCAGACGACCTTTCAATCGATAAGGCGGCACCAGCAACCCCTCCTCTTATCACCGATCGAGTTCAAACCCCTACATTTCGGCCGATTCGAAGTCGAGACAGAACAGGCAATCAAATCCTCAGCTGCAGCGATCATGCCCATGGCCAACATCCACCACCATTAGTCAATTCATGGCACATCGCTAGCTCTCGGGGAACCTGCACTCTCAGGGTTGAGGAAGGATGGAGATGAGCCCGAACTGGTCTCCCTCGGTATGGAGAGCGTCTCCAATACAACCCGCCCGATAGTGTAGGAAAAATCAAGAATCCCACAACAAAGCGGTTGTTGTGTCAGTCACTCAGTCGGGACGCGCAACCTGCCCAGTGCCCACACCAGAGGATGTTCAGTGCATGAGGAATAGAAGTTGGGACGGGCATCACATGACTGAGCGGAGATGCCAATGTTTCCGTCTCCCGAATTCTTCCGGCGCGTGTCTGCTCAGGCTTGACCGGTTTAGGTTCACCGGATGTGATCTCGTCGAAGGAGCGGAAGACTGCAACCCTTCGGGACTTTTAGGAGTCGATGACGGTAACGGCCGCAAACAAGTACTGGTCCTGACGAAGAACTGTACAGTACAGTACACTAAGGTACAGTACTTACAGTACTTACAGACAGCTGCTCCGGAGAGTGCAGGGCCGCACTGCAGGCAGAAGTCGTTCCTCCGTCCAGGCTCCTTCGGCTGATGATTTGTCCTCCTCCGACTGGATGAAGTTCAATGGCTCCTCTTGCAGGAGTGGTTTGTCCCCGGGCCTGCCACTGCAGCACCCGTTACAGGCTACTGCACCTCGGTAGACAGAATGTGGAAGGACTTGTGGTGGAGCAGACTGCTCCGCGCAAATGGTCTGATTCTCACATCCCTAAGTTACTTGTAGTCGGTCTACACTACATAGTTACTTGGTACGCACAGTCTCTCTACACCGAGTCTCTCTCCCGCACGGGTCGAACGACTACTGAAGGAATGTTTGCTTGACCATACAGCTCATCAACTCCCCCACCATCCTAGAATTGCTCCTGAGTGAGTGAGTAGACTGACCTTCGCCTGGCCTCACCCCGACTATACAGGAATACAAGAACAGTTTCACAGATACTTGCTCGTCCGATCGGTTGGAGCAACTCCACAGAATCTATGTATACATATAGAGTGCAGACATTGCAGCTTCCGTAGATACAGGAGATGGCCATTGCCACTGTCCTTTGAGCTGCAGACGAAGGAATCGCTACTTGCGCGGATCTCACTCTAAGAGTCATGGACGTTGATCACAAGTGTGACTATCAAATCTTGCGTAGATTTAGCACATACTTGGCTCTTGTAGTTCGAAGCTATTGGCTGTGGAGGTACAGTGCTGTACCTACCTAGTGTCTAGTAACCCAGAAGCATCAAATAGTCGCTTCATAGTTAACGAACTAGTCTGTGCAGAGTATGTGTAGTCAATTGACAAGCTAGGTCGAGAAAATTTACTGAATCAATTGTATAGTCCCGGTTCTGTGCCATGGTAGGCCAGTGTTTAGAATGTCGGAATACAGCGGCAGACTCGAACAGGTAAGCTTCCGTCGGGGAGGTCTTTCCCCGCACGCGGAGACTCACTCCTCCGCTATTGATTGTTGTTTTTTCTCGGTTTCCCCTTGCAACTGTCACTCATTAGCATCCACATACACAGCACGGAAGCAAGTCGCGCAACAAGGCATTTCGCACCCTGTCGCAGATAGTGCGCCTTCTGTCTAGTCTCAAGACTACAGCGAAGCACACCTAGCTGCGCCATCATTCCGGCCAGCCAACACAGCAACACGCATATTCCACCCGAACGGCCTGGCTGGATACAAACAAACCGCAATGCTCTCTCTTCCCCTCATTACCCCCCGCGATGTACGTCATCTCTGCCTTGAAGATAGATGACTTTCAAAGGCCAGTTGACCTCATGCAATTACTCGTCTCTAACAAGCCATCTTAGTCCCACGAGCTCTGGTTCGGTTCGTCTCAACCTTACCGCTCCTCATCCTCCACGTCCGCGACACCTAATCACTCCCACCACCACCATCACCCGGGAGAACCCCACGGCCCCAATCGCCGCAATGGCAGCAACCACCCCAACACTGGACGCGGCCTCTCTGCCTCCTCTGGAAACATGCTCTCATCCCTTCTCCTCGAGGAACGAGCCCTCCGCGCTCGCAAGAACAACATCGCCTCGTTCGGATACTCGTGGATCAAACCGGCCGGCTGTCCAAAGACGATGCTGGGGATGAAAGAGGAGGAAGCGGAACGCGAGGAGGCTCTGGCGGCCGCGGCCGCGGAGATGGCAGCTGCGGCTGCCGCCGCCGAGGCGGGCATGGATGACTTTGGGGGCCAGACGCAGGATACAATGGACGGAGAGGGGACGCAGGACGATACGGGAATGGAAAGAGACTTGGATGACGATATCCCTGACGCTGATGCAGACGGTCTAGTCGAGGAAGGAGAAGAAGGTCTGGAGGAGGAAGGTGTTGTGGACGAGGATGAGGAGGGATACATGGAACGCGATCTGGATGATGACATTCCTGAGGCCTTTTCTGGCTACGACGACGACGATGAGGAAGATCTGGACGAGGAGAACGAGGGTTTCGACGACCAACCAGACCTGGACGCTGACATCCCGAGTGCGCCGGAGGAAGGTTACGATGATGATGATGACGATATGAGCGAAAACGGAGCCATGGGCCGTGATCTGGACGATGATGTTCCCGGGGCTGATAACGATCACTATGCACAAGGAGAGGAAGAGGAATGGCAACATACGGATACCGACGCCGAATTTGACGATGAAGAGGATGTCAGCTTCGCGCAGGATCCCTTTACGCAAAGTCTTCGCGCGAGTACGAGCAGTCGTGGTGGCTTGCCTCCGGTGCCAATGCGACGAGAGCGAGAGACAGAGGCCCAGCGAAGATTCTTGCAGCGTTGGAGTGGCGGCGGGGATGCGTTTGACACCAGCAGCATGCTTGTAGACGAAGAAGATCTACGAGCGTCGATAGCCAGCCAGGCCAGTCGGAGGAGTGTTTTCAGCCGGTTTCCTCGTCGTCGAATGGGAGGTCCCAGAGACAGCCTCGAATAAAGTTCTACCTCTGCATTGTTGCAGTCTGATGTTTGAGTTTTAACATGTGCGGTGTGTATGAAGGTCGTTTTTCTTTCTTCTGGTGGAGGGTGGAAATCATGGCAGTCAATCTGGCTCAAACCGGGGAATGAGTAGGCCAAGTATGTACTAGTAGATTGTAGAAGAGCTAGGCGCATGATCAAGATTACTGTTTCCAGACGGTATATATGGTTACCAGTCGCTATAGAGATACCCATTCCATGCCATACTATCACATTTTAGAGCAGGAAATTCCACCGTTAACAGTACTCTGATAATTCAGGTGCTTTCTTACATGAACCATGTTGCATAAGTAAGTGTGATTCCCCTGTGCAGCTGCTCAGTGGAAAGTGAGTGGCCAGGGCTACCCCAAAGTGCCAACAAGCTCAATCCTTGTGCTATAAAGATGAGAAGATAGCCAGCTAGGCGCAGTGATAGCCATAGCCCTATGCATAAATTATATACACATCACATTGTACACTGATAACCAAAAGCATCGAGGTTTCACTCGCTCGCTACATTGGAGGCCATAAGCAGCCTAGAGACAAAACTCCGGATATGCACTGTCATAGCGAAAAAAGAAGCTCGACAGAAGAACGAGACAACAAGAATCATTATACATTTGCCATAGAAGCGATTTGCCAAGGTCTGCAGGTTAGACAATTATTTGCAGTGCTATCCGAAGGGCCAGTCTTCTAATTGAGAACGCCGTGGTGCACGAATCATGTTGGCTGGGAAGAAAAGATAATTAGGTAGTATAAGGAAAGCGCATCGGCCAAACACAGGGGGGGGGTCGAATGAAGCGCATGCTGAGCGAGAGCAAAAGTTCGTAGCACAAGCGGAGATACTGCACTTGGGTTCTGATGTTCGGGAAATGTTGGGAGCGAGTGGTTCTGAGAAGCGTGCCTGCGCCCGTCGACTAGGTTATCCACACATACGCGAATAGCAAAAAGACAGCCAGGAAGAAGGCCAGCCAGACTCGCCAGCCCACACCGGTGCGCTCCGCCATCCGCAGCATACGGGTCATGTTACCGCGGAGACGCACTCTAGTGTTCTCGAAAGTGTTGTTGAGGTCGGAAATCGCCGAGGTATCCCGGATCTCATCGCCGATGGCGACAGTAAGCTGGAAGCGAGCAATTAGTGTCACCTGCCTGGATCAAATTGCCTGCATCCTTACATCTTTCAACATCTTGACCTTTGCACTGATTCCTTCCACCTCTGCATCGTTCTGCGACTCCAAATGGTCGAGAACAGCATCCGAGTAATGGCCTCTACAAGCCGGAAGATGTAAGCCAGTTGCACACTCGATCCCTTCGAAATGCCCGTCTTTTGTTTGAAATGCGGACAACTCACTTCTTGTTCGGAGTTGCTGTCCTGTATCCTCCTGTAGGCCCGCCAGTCCCCAAGCCCTCGCCAGCCGGTGGAGTGTAGCCTCCGTATCCGTATCCTCCTATGCGGCCAGGAGATCGACTGGCCGGCCGAGAATCGCCGCCATAAGAGTCGAAAAGGGAAGACGAGGCGCGGGGATCGCGTTGATGAAGATTTGAACGTGGGAATCTAGTGACGCATGATTAGTTCCATTACTACTACTGATGCGCATGAAGATGGCATGGTCATACCGTGAGGCCATAACGAGTCGTTTCGTAGTCGTGGGCGGGTGAGGTCGATAAAGGGAATTATTTCAACAGCTCATGCAACTTAGCTGGCAAGCATTTTCGATAAGTATTATGGGACGCTCTCGACCAATTCCAGCCTGTCTGAATGGCTATGGAGCTGACGGGTCTGTCATGCGACGGGGTATTGCAAGTTGGTTGCGGCGATCGACTCGGAGAAACACGCTGGCTGCTAGCCGGGCCTCTCTGCTCGGGCGGAGACGCCTCCGGCACGTGAGCCAGCCTACATGTTCAACGTTACTGAACAGCTCCTGCTTGATCCTTGAATATGCGATTGGTTTATGATTTCATTTCATTACTGCAATCAATGCAATTATCCTCTCACTATTCGACCGGACTGTAGTTTATGCTAAAACAACCGCGAGGCGAGATCTGTAAACTCATGTTGGCTCCGAAGAAGTGTGCATTGCATGCACATAAATAGCAAAGATCTCAGCGCGGACAGACACAGAAACATTTGTAGAATATTCTTTTATCCCAAGCCAGGAAAAAGCCAGCATTGATTAAATGGCAAAATAATCCCCGACGTTAACGAATCCGATGAAGACCCCCAAAATCCTGCCTGCGCCTGTCAACCAATTGCCCGTTCACACTCGCCGCCCCTATGTTAATGGTGGTATGATAGTCTCGTCCGAGTCATTAAGAGATCGTGCATTTCAGCCGCGCATGACGGTATCCTCATCATCTTCCCCACCCTCATAATCCTCATCGTCGTCCTCCTCGTCGTCGTCCATCATGTTATCGGCCTTTAGCTTCTCGGCTGCCGCCTGATAATCAACGATCTTGCCGCGAGTACGACGGCCACCCGAGATGATGTTGTCTTCAGATATGGGCTCGAGGCTATCGCCGTCATCATCATTATCTGCCGAAAAGGTTATAGGGTTAGCCTGGCACTAATTGTAATGCTGTAGCTCATTGCAAATCATACCGTCTTCAGCCTGTGTACCATCGCGAGAAAATTGGTTAGTTTCGCAAGTCAGATAATGTTGTCAGGATTGGGATTGCCGTACCATCTCCTCGTTCTCGCTCTCGTCACTATCCTCCTCCTCTAGGTTTTCGTCGTGGGTAGGCTCGGTAGCCCGGCCCTTGCCCTTGTCCAGAGCAGCGGCATCGGGGGCGTTGGCGGCGCGGTCGTAGCCGGGAGTAGTGGCCTGGTTGCTGTCACCCATGATGAAAAGTTCTCGGTTCTAGGGCGAAGGGTCGGAAATGGATTAGGATGTATGAGTGCGCAAAGGTAATGAAGAGAGAAAGGAATTACAGAAGGATGGTCCAAAGCAGAGATTTTAGGGATGTGTTGCAGGCGCAAGGGAGATTCAGCTCAACCGTCCCCGGAGCGGTGGTTGTCCAGGGCGGCACACCTGCGGCTCCCGTGACTGGGAACTGAGGATTGAGGCGCCCACCACCTTATGCATAACAAACATGTTACCTAACTGAACCCCCAGCCTAGCGGAATTACTCAGTAACTTATCCCAATCCTCTAGAGACTCACGATGGTCTTCTTTTCTATGTTCAAATATAGTTATGATAGATGTGCCATGCCTTGCTACACTTCGACTTTTGCTCTTGGTAGCTCTAGGTCATAGAAAATAGGTGTAACATCGATAATATAGTACAACTCCGATCAACCATCATGTTTTTCGTTTGAGTTTCCAACGCCTCGTCTCTTCCGCTTCCCCTTGCTGCTGTTCATATAGCCTCCTCATAGTTAATATCTTTCTACTAACCAAGGCTTTATCCACATTTCCACCCCACAAATAGAACGAAAGACTAAAAGTGGTTTGCATCCAGGCGCTTTCACAAAAACAAGAGCAAAAGGAAACGTTTCATCATAGACGTTGAACGGCTGGCAAGCACTCATGCACAAGTCAGAGACTGACCTTGTTGCATTAATCAATGGTCCATAATGCGTTGACATGAAGGATGCCCGTTCCACTCTCAAAACGCTTCCTTTATCGTCTTGATAGGCTCAGCCTCTCCACTAGAACCATTATATGTTCAGGAGAGGCTCAGGCATTTATAATCAAAGCGCTGATAGCTCCGGGATAGAGCCTGATGTATTTTCAGAGTAGATAAATAGATCTACTACTTTGGGGGGTGCGAATGCTTGCGAAACCCGGTTCAGCTGTGTCTTAAGCAAGGCACAACGATGTCCATCATGCCCCAAAGTGACGAGTGCGGTCTTGGATCCGGTGATTGTGCGGGTGTCGAGCAGGCGGGCGGAGAGGATCTTCCCTGGGATCATGGAATATGCGAGAGCCCGGTAACGGACAGCAGACCGTCGACCTTGATGGGACGATACACGTTGTGCTCAAAGTAGGCGGGAATGTAGCGCAGACCGAAATGGAACACCCAGAGCGTCGAGCTGGACTCTCGGTTGAAGTAATGTAGTTGGACAGATCAAGCCGTGCACGGCACTCTTCTTGTGGGTTCTTGAAGACGGTGGCACCACTGAGGGCCCATGAAGCGAAGGAATTTAGTCCCTTCACAAATGCCTATAGTAGACCGATAAGTCTACGTTCGAAGAGGGCAAATACCTTCGCAGATCTGATTGAGCTGTGCCGCAAGCTGAGCACGACATTCGCAATCTCTGTCCAGCCATGCAACAGGTAACTTAGCACATCCGAGAATTATCAGCGAAGGCGCCTGACAGAATTTGAATATATTGTTGCCTTTTACAGCCTGGATGTATGATCCGATGCTTTTCGAGTCTTGAAGCTTGGTTTATGCTGGGAAAGCATTAGATTAATACTTTTAGATCTTCTCTGGTTTATCCTGAATATCTGATCCAGTCATGGAACGCTTCCATCGGACTCGCATGTCTGATTCCAATAGGCAAAGATTTTGCAGACTTGGGCCTTTGTCAGAACACGGCGGATAGTGAATCAACAAGACAAAGCATAACGGATCAATAAGAAAAGGCACCGAGTTGCAAATTACTTCCAAGCTGCACATATGCAGCGCAGACAGGCCTTATTCATGCCATCGAATGCCAGCGCTTAGTTCGGCTAGGCTTCGCAGATGTCAGGACAAAAGAACGACAAGTATGTGGAGGCTGAAAGACATAAGCGACATACAGAGACAACTTGGCAAAGCCGCAACAGCTGAGCCTCCAGCATTACCGAAATCAAGCGGGACGCTTTAGATATTTGAAATCGGAACCCGAATGTTAAATTGGGCCCAGATTCACAAGCTACATAGATTGTGGAGCAGAGGAAACCCCCCGAGCCCGTTCTGAACCAGCGATAACCAACCAGTCCCAAAGGAGATACACACGCATAGCTATGGCCGATGGTAGGATGTGTTGTGTACTGGTAAAATATTCTTTCTTCTCCGAGCAAATGCTCTTGTTGAAACCTACTATGATTGCTATGGTCTGCTGGAGACGTCCTCGCTGCGTTCGACATATTTCTTACTGATATGGCAGAAATACAAACCGGGGATGGAGGCACACGCAACATTGGCTACTGAGGGAGTTGCTTACAATAAATAAGGCTACATGAATTAGTTTCAGGACACATAAACTGGCTGTTACCATATAACAGGCCACAGCACGAGCGCAGACAACGGGCCAGAGATCTAGACATTAGAGAACAGTGTTGGCCGTCATTATGACGGACTATATTCTGTTCAATTCCATGGGTGAGATTGTCTGATCAGATATTGTACTCATGGAAAGACCCTTAGTTACTATCATCTATTAATGTTAATTGTGTCCCGCCCTAATCCGGCATTGTTGAATCTAATCCACACACAGAGAGTAGCTGCGGTGTAGAGTATGTATCTTCTAAAAGCCAGAGTAACAAAACTTGTCTGAACACATGCGAATGTATATGTGGGCATGATCATGTAATACTCAGTAACTTATGTAGTAATAGCTCTCTACTCAATGCACTCAACTCATATTCACTCATCAGCCTCATGAGTCAGAACAAGAGAACGAAAGAAAAAAGTCTGAACGAAGATTAGATTACGTCACCCACTCCGCTGGGTACCCCGCCAACCGCCGCCCGAAAAGCCTGGCAGAAAAACTTGAAACACCCCTCCTCGCCCAAAAATGGAAGCCTCTTCTCCTTTCCACCAAAGTTCCATCAGTTCCGCCAAACGTCACCTGTCTATAGTATAAGGTAGTCTAGTACTAGGTAGTCTATACCGTGTTTGTTAAGGACCCTGTCAGGGCCACTAAGTAATGAAGTAGTAGCTTGTCGTAGCTTGTAGTTTAATCTAGCAGCAACGAGGATCATCCCATACATTCTTTCCCTTTGATTAGTCCTTTATCGAATGGCCCAGAACTGCAGGCGGTTTTCTCGAAGCTGGCGATGGAGCGGGTGGAAGACCATCGAACCCCATGGATACCCGTCGAACCGCCGCTTGCTAGAAACTTCGCTGGAGTTGCCATTTCACCGCCCGCCACTATATCAACGTTGCCAGTCGCACATTTTCTCTGCTCCATTCATCCATTTTCTAAACACGCAACTACTACTCTCTACTACTCCCATTTCCTCCTACCCTTTCTTCTTTACCACGCTCTAAGTCTCTTATACCCTTTCTCGAGACTTTTTTGTACATTACGATAATCTTGCTTAACGAATTCCCTCTACTACACACATCACATCACACATCATGGCCCCCGCTGTCGGTATCGATTTGGGAACCACCTACTCCTGCGTGGGTGTCTTCCGTGATGACCGTATCGAAATCATTGCCAACGACCAGGGTAACCGCACCACCCCCTCTTTCGTGGCCTTCACCGACACCGAGCGTTTGATCGGTGATGCCGCCAAGAACCAGGTTGCCATGAACCCTCACAACACCGTCTTCGATGCTAAGCGTCTGATCGGTCGTCGTTTCGCCGATGCCGAGGTCCAGTCCGACATGAAGCACTGGCCCTTCAAGGTCGTTGACGACAAGGCTGGCAAGCCCATCGTCGAGGTTGAGTTCAAGGGCGAGACCAAGCAGTTCACCCCCGAGGAGATCTCTTCCATGATCCTCACCAAGATGCGTGAGACCGCTGAGTCTTACCTTGGTGGTACCGTCAACAACGCCGTCATCACTGTTCCCGCTTACTTCAACGACTCCCAGCGTCAGGCCACCAAGGATGCTGGTCTCATCGCCGGCTTGAACGTTCTCCGTATCATCAACGAGCCCACCGCTGCTGCCATTGCCTACGGTCTGGACAAGAAGACCGAGGGTGAGCGCAACGTCCTCATCTTCGACCTGGGTGGTGGTACCTTCGATGTCTCCCTCCTTACCATCGAGGAGGGTATCTTCGAGGTCAAGGCCACCGCTGGTGACACTCACTTGGGTGGTGAGGACTTCGATAACCGCCTTGTGAACCATTTCGTTACTGAATTCAAAAGAAAACACAAGAAGTTAGTCACGTGACTTTTTCATATTACTTCCCTCTCATTTCCCCCTCATTCCCCCCTCAACTCCCTCTCATCTACCCCTCATTTCCTATTCATTTCCCCCTCAATTGCTGTGTGAGCGTTTGTGCTAATGTTTAACTAGGGACTTGACCACCAATGCTCGTGCTCTCCGCCGTCTCCGCACTGCTTGCGAGCGTGCCAAGCGTACTCTCTCTTCCGCTGCCCAGACCTCCATTGAGATCGACTCTCTCTTCGAGGGTATCGACTTCTACACCTCGATCACCCGTGCTCGTTTCGAGGAGCTCTGCCAGGACCTCTTCCGCTCCACCATGGAGCCCGTTGAGCGTGTCCTCCGCGACGCCAAGATCGACAAGGCCTCCGTCCACGAGATCGTCCTCGTCGGTGGTTCCACCCGTATCCCCAAGATCCAGCGCCTTGTCTCCGACTTCTTCAACAAGGAAGCTAACAAGTCCATCAACCCCGATGAGGCCGTTGCCTACGGTGCTGCTGTCCAGGCTGCTATCCTGTCTGGTGACACTTCCTCCAAGTCCACCAACGAGATCCTCCTGCTCGACGTTGCCCCTCTCTCCCTTGGTATTGAGACCGCTGGTGGTGTCATGACTGCTCTTATCAAGCGCAACACCACCATCCCCACCAAGAAGTCCGAGACCTTCTCCACCTACTCCGACAACCAGCCCGGTGTCTTGATCCAGGTCTACGAGGGTGAGCGTGCTCGCACCAAGGACAACAACCTCCTTGGCAAGTTCGAGCTTACCGGCATTCCTCCCGCCCCCCGTGGTGTTCCCCAGATTGAGGTCACCTTTGATCTCGATGCCAACGGTATCATGAACGTCTCTGCCATTGAGAAGGGTACCGGTAAGACCAACAAGATCACCATCACCAACGACAAGGGTCGTCTCTCCAAGGAGGAGATCGAGCGCATGCTTGCCGATGCCGAGAAGTTCAAGGCCGAGGATGAGGCCGAGGCTTCCCGTATCCAGGCTAAGAACGGTCTTGAGTCCTACGCCTACTCCCTCAAGAACACTCTCAGCGAGGGCAAGCTCACCATCAGCGATGCCGATAAGGAGAAGGTCACCGCCAAGATCGACGAGACCATCAGCTGGCTCGACTCCAACCAGACCGCCACCAAGGAGGAGTACGAGTCCCAGCAGAAGGAGCTTGAGGGTGTTGCCAACCCCATCATCTCCGCTGCCTACGGTGCCGCTGGTGGTGCCCCTGGCGGTGCCGCTCCCGGCGCCACCCGCACTGCTGACGACGTCGAGGAGGGCCCCGAGGAGCTTGACTAAATGCCTCAACTTTCAGTTTTGCTTCTAGTTCTTACTACCCATGGCTGTTCATTGGCTAAGTTCTTCTCTATTTGCATGTTCTAATCTTCATGTCTTCTGTTTTCTTTAACGAAATTATGGGATCCTTTTCTTGTGCATGATTGCATAGATTCGAGGTTTAGTCTTCACTGCATGATGATTTACTCTGCAGTAATCAGGAGGGAAAAGTTTCCTTTCGACGAATACAATAAATTTCTAATAACCTTGTCCTTCATCCTTTCGCTCTTAGTAGTAAAATCTGCTTTGGTAAGCTCTAGCCGTAATAATACTTGTGGATTTTGAGGGAGTCAGAACCAGGCGTAGGACTCGAGACTGTTTGTACTTTGTAGCCTAGATTCGGGAAGTCTCGGCCTCATCCTCGGCCTTGAACTTCTCGACATCGGCAAGCATGCGTTCAATCTCCGCCTTGGAGAGACGACCCTTGTCGTTGGTGATGGTGAGATTTTCAAGAATGTATAGTTATTAAGCATTATTTATGGTGCTCTTAGAGTGATAGTTCAACTCTTCTCTTAGGCGTTCCTGCATATCTACCCTAGCTTGATCATCCTAATAAAAGCTACAGTCTAATGAATAATGCAACCATATCATCACTTGTGCTAACTTCTGCATGTTGACAATAGTCAAGATCCCTATAATCATTCCAATGCGATTTCACGACACGAAATATGGATATTATACTATACATTAATAGTCAGGGTATAGAGGCAGCCTATCGACCCATTATATTTCCTTTAAGATTAAGCCAATCATGGGGTTGCTGTTGTTACCTAGCTGGAGGCGATCAGACATAGTACAGTACTTTCCTGAGCAGCCTGGGTGCTCCGGTCAATACTAATCCTCCCCTACTGTTGAAGAGTCTATGAATTACACCTGCAAATTTCATGTATAAGTTACCCATATATAGTATAACCACCACAGCAATAGACAAAAAGCCCAGGATGTATAAATCCATCAATTACCCTCAACGCCACACAATTATCCACCAACACATACATATATATACAAATGATCAACCAGAGGCAATAGTCCGATTGATGATGATAGAAGAGGAATGAATCACTTTCGAACCTCCTTCCTTCCCCCCAAACTCAGGCCGAATCCGATCAATCAGCGCTTGCTGCCTGCCCCCTCCCCTCTCAATAACCCCCCCTCACAACCATCCAGAAGCACCTCTCTCCACGGCGAGAAAACTCCTGGACCCATGAATAGGCGGACAGGAAACCGTACAACATGTCCCGAACAAGACAAGATCCCACGGGGATATGCCTGCGAGCCATCATAGCCCTGCGAAATCGCCCGCCCACCAGCGTTGTACCCGACTCGCCCCAAGCTGCACCACACTCCCGATCCCGATGTCCTTGGCTCGCTCGGGGAATTTCTCGCGCTGTTCGCGCTGGATGCGCAGGAGGGCGGCGGTGGTGCCTATCGCGAAGGCGAAGATAGGATCTGCGGCTCTATTTTTTGGGTACAAAGAACGAGGATATTGTTTTAGTTTGCGATCGGATCTTTCAGTCTCAAAGAGTCGTGGATCAAACTTGCGATTGGGTGTTGTGGGGTTGGGAGTTTGGGCTCGGAGCTGGAGAACGAGAAAGAGGGGATGATGGGGAGCGCGGACTGTGTTTAGGGTGCTGTTTCTTGGGTAGACATGAATTGGGGGTGTTGTGATGGGTAAAGAACTGGGACATACTTGGAGATTAGGTAGATAGGCATTGTAAAGGCTGCGTTGGTGTCGATGATGGTAGTGGTTTGGGTGGTCCACGTAGAGGTGGTGGAGTTAATACGGAAATTAGAAAGTTCCTTTGTCGCGTAACTGCGGAGCACCTCATGCCTAGCATAGCATTCCACTTATTGCGGCGGTGAGGTGGAACTTCAAGGAGCTTCCCGAGGCCCAGGTTCTAGAGTACCATCCTCCCTCGATGTATCTGTTACCTACCTCTGCCATGTAAACAGTCTCTATGATGCTGGATGATCTGTCTTTTATTTCCAATGTGTTAACTCTGTAGCGCAGAACCACTCGAGTCATCAACCGTCGATGTAGAACCACCCTCTCCTGTCTGTCTCACCCAAGGAGGGTGGACATCACAGCATATAGACTATCTCTGTGTGGCCATTCCTAGTAACTCTTATATCCTGTAAGATAATAGTAGGCATCCCACATAATGTAGAATTACTATTGCTGCAGAAATTTCGAAGAAGATGATTTTCCGGCTTAAGCCGAGCGAAGCATGTACAACGAGTTAACTAGTTGTTATTTGATCAATCATTGACCTACCGGCCAGTTTAAGATATTGATCCAAAGAAGACTTATACATTGGCTCAGGCGTATGGTCTAAATTTGCAGCTGGGGAGGCTTCGCATCGCCCCTCCCCTAGACTCCTCTCCGCCATCCATCTCAGCACAAGCCATAATACTACAACACTACAACTTTAAGGAGCCAATTGAGCCAGTTATTTAGACACGAAGCTTCAGTAAACTAGCGTTCATCATCCTTGCTCAGGCCCTCCTAGGGATGCGAATCTACTTACCACTTCAGAAATAAGTTATGCTCAGTACCATAGGCAGGCACGAATGATCGTGCGTGTCGGCGCCAACTAGATTAGGCCGCGAACCCTACAGAAACATGCCCAGAAACATGCCCAGGCTCTAGAATCCTGGGGTTGAGATACATGAAATTAGCACCGTACATCTATTACCAGTGCGTCTTGTCTGCCCTACTGCCCTGCTAAGCTGATAGACGGAGAGAACAACAACGATAAGCATATTTAAATCCCTCAGTGTACCTTGCCTCTGCGGACTGGGTAGCCACTCGCTGGGCAGGAAAGCACAGACGAAACAGTACTACTGCACATGCACTCAGCCCTACAGTCTACCACGTATCCTCAATCTCTCTGTCGCCGCCCACTTGTCGAGTCTTATGGCCACTACCGTGTGTTCACTCTTGCAGGTTGCAGGAAAACCGGACTTTGTGAGACATTGCTGTAATCCCGCGAGGCCTAGCTCTTGAAACACGTATCATCCAACATGATGTATCTTCCAGAAACCTCCACATATCCATCATTCAAACCCCCAGACTATCAAGCTCCCGTGTACCTGATCCTGTGACTACGCTGGCAAGGCTGGCCACGAGAAATGCGCCTGTCGGACCTATATTGCGGAGAGCCTAGGGAGAGCCACCAACTAAATCATGAGGGATGACGCCCTCCCCGTCGCCGATGGAGTTTTACAATCAAAGGCGAAGCCTAGAGGTTACTCCAAAAAGATCGAGAGGGCTGGAGACCATGCTCGTCTATAAGGGTAAAAGACCGTAGATAGGAAGTCATATTAAGGGGAGATGTGTTTCTTCAATTCCAATCGCCATGTCGCCATCAAACTCGTGAAAGCAAAAGAAAAAGGTCTTGTCTATCAAATGCGCAAGGCTCAACAGACTGCTCTATTTTGGTACCAGAAAGCCCCGAAATCGAACCTGACAGAAAATCGCGTCCCAAAAAAGCAAAGCACCCGCTACTATAATCAACATATAATTACTTTTTTTTTACACAACCTGGCCAAACGCAGGGATCAGCGTCTGAGCCAGCCAGAAGCTGAACACAAGCTTAGGTCCAGTCATCAACAGCTTGGGCGTCAGACCCTTAAAGAAACTGGTGAATCCCTCGTTCTTCATCATGTTGGACACGATCCGGAAACCAGACTCCGGGTTTTCGAAGTTGCGGTTCTGAATACGGGTCTTGATGACGTCCAAAGGAGCAGACACAACCAGAGAAGCACTAGCACCGCAGATGGAAGCCACGAAGTTCTGACCCCAGGTGGCAGAGTTGTAGTCCTTCAGCTGGTAGATGTACTCCTTGGCAAAGGCGGAACCACCGAAAAGCTGTTCACACCCAGTCAGCATTTAAGAAACATTCAGAGGAATGGTCACATACAGCAAAAGATCCAGGGGCGTTGCGGGCTGCAGTCCAGCCAGCACCACGGTACAGTCCCATACCCTCATCCTGGATGATCTTGAAGAGGCCGCGGCCGCGGAAGGCCTCGGGGTTAGTTTGACGCTTGATCTTGAGAACGTCGAGGGGCAGAAGAACAATCTCTCCGATACCGATCAAACTGAATTATTGTTAGCGAAGGGGCTCAAGTCAAACAACATCGGACATGCGCACCTTCCAGCTGTCGCGTGCATGATAGCCTTGCCAGTTCCCTTTCCAAAAGCATTGTCGAAGTCGGAACCGTAGTGCTTGGCCAGATAGTCGCGAGCGAAGGGCTGGCCACCGTACTTATAGATACGCTGAAGGACCTTGTAACCGGCGGCGTAACCCAGACCGGGGAAAAGAGAGGTAAACTTGCGGCCAGCGGGGGCGTCGGCAAATTCCTTGAAAATAACCTTGTTCATTGCTTCAGAGGAGGCGATCTGTAGAAGACGATTGTCAGAGAAGTCTTGAGCCGGCCGAAATCAGTTGTAGAGTTGATGTCGTCTTACACGAGTCTGGTTGCTCATCAACCGCTTGGCAATGGTGTCGACCTTCCAGGTGAGTTAGCACAAGGTCTCAACAAGCGCGATATCGCTTTCATCACAACAAGTATGGGGGCATTCGTACAGGGTGGAAAACCATGAGCTCCGTAATACCAGCCGTTCCTAGCAACAACATCTGGTTAGCAACCGAGTACAAACACCAAACTATTCTCGGAGCTGTATATGAACACCTACCTGAACCCAGGAGACGGGCGGTCGCGGATTCTCTCTTGACATCCTTCGTGGCAGAGCCAGCACCAGCTTGAACAAGGGCGGGAGACATGTTGACTTGGTTGATAAAGATGGCGAAAATCTGAATTGAATTTTTTTCTTTTCCTGTTTGGGTGAGTATGAGTCTTATAAAATTGGAAATAAGGGAAAGAGAAGTATGGAACCAGGAGGGAACAACTCACCACCAGAGTCAGAGGGGCGAAACACGACTGGAGCCAGACAATGCAGCGATGAAGGGAAGGGAAAGGGAAAAAAAAAAGGCAGACGCACACCAGCCAAGAGAGAAGGAGAAGGAAGAAGAACAGAGAGCAACTTTCCCGCAACTTTCTGCGCCGACTCGGAACCACTTCCAGCGGCCGCGGCGGACGGATGAACTCGACTAGACTACTTTAGGCCTGGCACCACCGGCCCTGAATCGGAGCCGCTCTCTTAGGACAATTGAGTCAGCACACGCGGCACCGTGACGGGATTCCGGGACGGACCCGGGCCTCAAATGGCGTTCCCCAGGTGCAGTGTAGTAGACTACTCCATATTCATTCCATTTTCATTTTTGGAAAACAAGCGATTGTGGCGGGCCAAGGGAGTTGGTCAGTGTAAACACGCAAGTCACAGTCGCAATAGAAGTGAGGTGTTCCTGCAGCTTGAGATCCTCGGAACCATACAAGTCCGCTCCTTCCAAGCTTAGCGGCACAGTGCTTCAAGTCAAGGTACGATGATTACGAAAATCCCCCGGGTACTTGACATCTCGGATCGCGCATGATTAATGTCTCCAGTCATTCGATAACAGTTGATCTGAAGTTTGATCCCATTTAGACGATTTCCACATGAAGAAGACAGCTCGAAGACAGCTCGCCAAGAAAAGAGTCAAAGGAAAGGAAGAACATAGATAGCCCCGTAAGAACGCCGACGGAACGATACATCAAAAGCACCAGTGACCAGCGCAGTCGAGCTTGCCCATCTTGCTACGGCCTACAACTGATAGATCCCACGCCATCCCACGCCCAAGGGATCTCTCAGAAGGCCCACGGCGAAGCGAATTAGCAGTGGCGCGACTTGATTACTTCAAGGTAAAGCAAGACAGAAACGGACAGGTCGACCAGCGCCTAGTAGTCACCGAATGTGTTCTCGCCGGAGTACCTAGCAGCGACAACTAAATCAGCCAAGGTAATTCATCAAGTATGGGCCTAGAGCTTACGTGATGTACAGGAATCCATCCTCATCCTTGTGCTCTTCGTAGATGCTGCTCATGAGCGCTGCTGTTGGCGGAAGGACCTCATCAACGAAAATGAAGATGGCCTTCTCAGGAGACAGCTTAATACGCTTGCGAATCACGTAGACAAACTGTCCAACGGTGAGATCGGCCGGAACAAGGTACTTCTTCTTGTCGATAGTTGCAATATCCGACTTCTCGACCTTTTCGCAGATCACCTGTATGGTAGAAAAGAGCGTGGTTAGTATCGCGAACAGGCGGTGAGCCGCGGACACAATGAAACCCCAAAGACAATGATGTTGAGCATGGGCGGACATACCGGAATACGATCGGCGTACTTCTGACGGATACGCTCGGCCTCAGCCTTACGCTTCTCGAAGGGATGCTCGTCCTTGAACTTGGAACGCATGTTGATAGCGGGTTCGGGGCGGTTAGTTGGGAGCGGGAGCGTTAGACCGATAGAGATCGAAGGGAACCGATAGTTGCTGCGATAAGATGATTTTAGGGTGAAACCGGAATCTGAACTATGATGAAAGCGATGGAAAGAAGCGAAACAGTTGACAAATGGGTGTAAGGATAGATGGATAAATGGATAGATGGATAGATGGAGAGAGAGAGATAGATAGATAGACAGAGACGAGGGGGTGGTGGAAAGGAGGATGAACGGTGATGACAAAAGGTCAAGAGAAGGCGGACAGGCAGCCCCGCGTCATGGCAGAGAGCAGTAGGGGCTGCTGATAAGGCCGCCAGGCAAGCGCGGATCACGGGGGCGGAGGCGGTGAATCCGCGCCCCCACACGTCTGGATTGAGTCAAAGCAAGGTCAGGTGTTTTGTGGTTTTTGTCATTGTCTCTTCACGTGGAAAGCAAAGGTTCGTCCAACTGACCCAAGTCGGATGATCGTATCGCTTGGCTGCCATCCTGGGTTCTCCAGCAAATGTGACTTTACCACCCGTACATACATTGACTGATCATAGATAATCTACATGGCGGGTGCGTTGCCACCAGTGCCTCCACTTAGGTCAGTGTCTAGATCCCGAGTCCTTGGTCCCATTTCCGTCCGAGGAATTTTGTCTACTAGGTACAGCCCTGAGGGCCCCGAAGGTGGTTCCTGAGTCACAGCTCCTTCTATTGATTTTGCAGTTAATCCTATATGTTTGGCGATATGTAAAGACTTCATAAGACCAAAGATTGTGCCAATCCTTGCACAGTACAGTAATGCGATCGACAAAGAAGATACACACACTTTTGGAGGCATAGGAGTCGATTAGCACGTGACCTTCACAGACCAAGCATACCGCACAGACAGCACAAACAGCACAAACAGCACAAACAGCACAAACCGCATGCTGCGGGTAACTATAGTGCACTCACGACATGGCGGATTTATGCAAACCGGCCGCAGGACCTCGGAGGTGGTGGTCCCATACTCTTCCGGAACCTAGCTGAGCCATCGAACCAATTATTATCCCGTGAAAGTTCGCCGCACTTGGTACTTTCTGCTCCAAGCTACTAACTTGAACAATAGCGCGGAGTCTCGGAAGAACGCAAGCACGAATCTGGCACCACCCGATCCTTAAGCAGATCAGCCAATTCTTCAATTGCCCCGTCCACAATGGCTATGGCTCGGCCATATATGCCTCTGCGGAGGTCCGTTTGTCAGGTCTTCCCTCGAGCCTCTTGCATTCCTCGCGGCGTCTCAGCGCAGTTTCGCAGGCACCTATCAGAGCAAAAGCCACGCGAATCCAAACCCTTTACTGTGTGGAGGCCATACCTACGACTAGCAATCGGTGTCCCATTCATCGCGACCCTCATTTATTCCATGGTACCAACTGCAACTCTTCAGCCCCGCACCGCTGGCCCCAGTTCTGACCTTGCGATCTATATAGATGACAGGTGAAGTAACCGAACTCGACTCGCCGTCAATTGTGGAGCTCGATGAGGCATTGAAGAAACAAGCAACAATCAGCGAGACGTCACCTATGCGTCTGCGGATGGAGAAGTTGATCAAAGAACACCAGCAGAAGATCGTGGAAGAATTGAGCAGGATAGATGGAAAGCAATTCAAGAGCGACGAGTGGACGCGCCCCAATGGAGGCGGTGGCATATCCTGTGTTCTTCAGGATGGGCATGTCTTCGAGAAAGCTGGGGTCAACGTATCGATTGTATACGGGGAGTTACCTCGTCCCGCTATCGAGAAGATGCGAGCTGATCACAAGTCCTTTGTCGGGGCCGATGTGGACTCGCTGAGCTTCTTTGCAGCCGGTCTCTCCTTGGTCCTGCACCCACACAATCCTATGGCTCCGACAGTCCATCTGAACTACCGTTACTTCGAGACGACGGACCCCAAGGACCCAATTAACGGTGATAAGAACTGGTGGTTTGGTGGCGGTACTGATCTGACTCCCACCTACCTTTTCCCTGAGGATGCCAAACACTTCCATCAAACAATTAAGGACGCCTGTGATCGACACGACGCCACATATTACCCCAAGTTCAAAGCCTGGTGCGACAAGTACTTCTATTTACCCCACCGCCGTGAGTGCAGAGGTGTTGGTGGTATCTTCTTTGATGACCTTGATGCCAGTTTCTTGGAGTCTTCGTCCACTTCGTCACAAAATCCGCAGGAGACTCTCTTTTCTTTCGTGTCGGATGGGCTTGCGTCTTTCCTCCCCTCCTATGTGCCCATCATTGAGCGCAGGAAGGATATGCCATTCACCCCAGAACAGAAAGAGTGGCAGCAGCTTCGTCGAGGTCGCTATGTTGAATTCAACCTGGTATACGACCGTGGTACCAGCTTCGGTCTTCGTACACCCAATGCCCGAGTTGAAAGTATCTTAATGAGTCTTCCTCGTACAGCAAGCTGGGCCTACATGGACCCAGTGTCCGGGACTCGCACCGAGGAGCCTGATTCGGAAGAAGCGCTGTTAACTAAAGGCAAGGAGCATGAGAAGGAGATCATGGATGTTCTAAGACATCCTAGACAATGGGTCTAGGAATAACCGGAGTTCTCCCATTTCTCTTTCCTGTACATCAGAGTGGTCCACCCTTCCTTCTGAACGACAATTTAATTTATGTACGATATCGAGTAAAGTGAGCTCACACATGGTAGCACATAAAGTAATTCGGTAACCCCCTCGGTACCGCAGACGAGATCATGTTGAGCATACAGTGTGGCCATGAGGGTCACGGATTATCTGCAATAATTGAGACTGATGATCAAATTTTATTCCCACACGAATGAAATCTATCCACAACGATGGTGTTATGCGGCGCACAATGGGGTAATTCAATGCAAAGGTATAACGGGTAACACGCCCCAAAGATATATAGACACATGGGACACACGGGACGAAACGCGGAGCAAGTTCAACCAAGAGCTATGAAAAGGAAAGAGGCGTGGCCGAATATACATACAGAAAGCTCAGCTCTATCGACCAGCGACCACGCTTCTCTGTTTGGCCAGCCAACCCTTTTGTGCATCAGCCAGGGTTCCGTGGCGGTATCTAGACATTGTGACATTGTTGTTCTGCAGTCGACTCTGCAGATCATACCATGAGGAGCTCATAAGCTCAAGCTCCCGAGCTTGAGCCTCAATTGTCTTCTGAAGCTCAAACTGTGCAAATGAGAAGTTAGTGGAGTGACAAAGTTGAACACAGAATGAGATCGCGAGTTCACTCTCGGCGCATAGACTCTCACTCACCTCACGCTCTTTGCTGATTCCAGTATCTGTATCATCCTCGAGCTGCCTTATGCGCTCCTGGAGGAACTTGATATGCTCGTTTTGTTGATGAATGTACTACAACGGTCCAGTTAGTCTCTGGAATGAGTAAAAAGAGTTCAGGGGTCAAGCGACTAAGTCGCAGCAGTCGAGAGTCAAGACTTGAACCTTGTGACGAGAAAGCGACTCATATGGTACAGACTTGCAGCCTTTCTAGCCGATAAGACAGGCATATTGCCAAATGGCCGGTCCGTATGGTGATTGAGTTGTTTTCTGCAGCCACTGGAAGGCCCAAAGGGGGCAAGCTTCACGCTGGTTCGTCTGACGCAAGCCGACAGCTGTGGAGAAAATGCATAACTGACCTCTGCGCGCTTGGCTAGTCTTTCCAGATTCTTCTCAATCTGTGCGGCAACTTGCCGCGTCAATTCCACGGCGGATTTCTGTGCAGCTTCGGAGTCATCACCGTCCTCCTGTGCCAGTAGTTCAGCAAGCAACTTCTTCATCTCCTCTGCTGCTTCCTGATCCTCTGCGCGGAACTCCGCTTGCTTCTTCTCTAGAAGGCCTCGAAGGTCGTCGCGCTCAGCACAGGTTACCTGCACCAAGGTATGAGTCGAATCAAGCTCAGCTTGAAGATTGTTGAGTTTGCGCGTCACGTCATCCCATGCATCACGCATTTTGCTTAACTCTGTTGCATTGTGTGCTTTGACTTCCGCCATCAAATCAATTCTTTCGTCGCTGGCAAGTTCGACTACACGACTATCAGTACGATCATCTGGGCTCACGAGGCTTCAGCAAATCGAACTCACGCTCTGCCATTGTATCACTTAACGACCGCTTAGTCACATCAAGAGAGTCCTGAGCTTCTGCCAGCCTCTTGAGTGTCGCTGTGAACTGATCGTACAGCTTCCAATACTCATCACTAGGGATCAACATTAGAAACGGAGCTGGCTAATCACAGGCAAACACACCTCTGCGTTGAGTTGGCGCGAGCCTGTTGTAAAGTCTCACTGAATGTTTCAGAGAAGCCTTCGAGTATCTATAAGTTGCCCGTCAATATCCTCGTGGGTAGATTATTAGCTGTGAAGCGACGTACAGATGCTGAAGGTCCCCTTAGTGATTCAACCTCCTTCTTGAGATCCTCGGTTTCAGGTTTACTGTTGACAGCCGTTAGCACATGCCTTGCCAGCAATAAGAGGAATGATATCCATACAGTTGAGATTCTTTCACACCGATGGCCTCGAAGTCTTTCTGTAGGGTTCCCTCTAATTTCGGAGTCTCTGTCCCCGGCGTCAAGGATGGACTACCGGGAGAACCTTCCAACTCCCGGACTCGTTCTCTCAGCTCGCTGATCAAGGCGTCGTCGCGCTCGCGTTGTTCTTCGGCGTTGCTAAGACGCTCAGTAAGTGCATGATTGTTGAACTCCAATTGCTTTTTAAGATTCTGAATTTCGCTACACTCCTGCTCTATGCGAGGCAGAACTCTCCTGTACTCCTCAAGCTCTACCTCGCGCTCAGAATTCCATTTTTGCTGTGAATCCGTCTCCTTTAGTTGCTGCTGGAGATCCTTTATTTGATTCCTGAGGGACTGATTCTCCTTCTCAAAGTCCTGACTTGCTTGCAACTTTTGGCGGTACTTCTCGGCTGCATTCGCTTTCCGGGCTAGCTGGTCTCGTTCGGTCTTCAGCTCATCATAGTCATCTTGCAATTTTTGGAAACGCTGATTCTTGACTCGTAGTGATTCGACGGTCATTCGTAGACTGTCAATTTCATCTTGTGCCGTGGCTAGCCTGGCTTCTTGGGTAGCAATTATATCTTCTTGTTGGCGTGACTTGGACTCGAGAGCCTTGGCATTGAGTCCAAGATCTCCTTTACCAGATCGCAAGTTGATAAGCCGATCCTCAGTGGATGCCAAGCGGCTCTGCAAGGTGTCGTTGTTCTCCTGGAGGCGTGCCAATCGGTCATGCATGTCGTCAATT